TGATCACCACTCTACACCAATAAAATCTCTACACCAATAAAATTAATATTTAGGGGAATAATTGAACATTAATTTTCTAACAACTCTTTAAAAGGCTGAAAATTGCCATTTGAAAATCTGTCTTCTGAGAAACCCGTCCTTTATAGACATAGTTGACTTCTAAAGATGACCTCTAAAGTCTAAAATAGAATTAAATATAAACTATGTCTATAAACAAAAAATACACGCTATGTGTCAGTATTCATCATCAACAACACTCTGAGACTGAAGTCATTCCAGAACTCTTAGAGCTACATGGAAGCTTAGAGATGAGCTAACTCAGTGCCCTGGTTATTTATATAGAAAAACTGACGCATGAGACAAAGTGACCAGCTGCGGGCACACAAGTGGCAGCGACCCAGCACCAGAATCATCCCAACCACACCACTGAGCTCATGAGGAGCCACTACAACACTGGATTCAACGAAAATGGATATAAATCAGGACTCCTCATAGCCCGATCTGCCCAGTTTTACCAAAGAAGGTAAAATTTTCTTAATCTTTTCTTCATTGTTTAGCCAACAAGAATTTTAAACAGCAAGTGATCACAACAAACCCTGGAGAGAGAAAGGACGGGGTGTTTACTTGAAAGCCTGGAAGATGAGGGCTTCCTCCCCACTCGTGGTGAACCGCTCCCTGTAGAGCTCGCCGTGGGAGGTGAGGTCGCTCAGAGACAGACTCCCGATGCTTCCCTGTAAGGCCAGGTCTCCCTCTAGGGATGTTAAAATGAGAGAATGTTGTCACATGCCATCTTGCTGCACATCTCCAATATGTTTGGGACAAAAACTAATGGACACGTTTTAATCAAACTAAGCACAGAAGCCAATTTTCAATATCCCAAAACACCCTCCAATCTTTCAGAGTCACCATGCCAAAGGCCAAAGGGAACTGAAAGGATACAGCAACACCACACAGCGACGTGGGGAAAGAAAGCAAATGCATATACAATTCAAAAGACAAAACATTTACAAATGCCGCCAGAAACACATTCTGAGATTAGACCACTTGTTAAAATTACTGACACATCAAAAGGTCTATAAATCATACTGCGAATGAAAGAAAAAAGGAAGAAGTGTCAGATATGTATTGGCTATTCAAGCAACATTCAGCAGGTTTTAGGGAGATTTAATAAAAGAACAAAATTAATGAGGTCACAGACACTGGTGACCCAGATGTGAAGCTAATCAGATGTGACAGGAGTGAAAAAGCCCCTGGAGGGTGGGATTCACACAAGTGGCTGGAATGTGACCCTGAAACGATCCTTCTTAACACTGTGCAAGAATGTTCTGAGCTGTGGCTGCCATAAAACAAAACTCACCATCACAATCACGATATCATTACCACCCACTCCAGCAAACAAGGTGGACACACCCAGCATGCCAGTCAGTTTCCGATGAAACCAAAGGCACATATTTTTATTATATTTATTTTTATAAATACATTTATATATTTTACTTTTATGTATTTTTTTATTCAGAACTCTTCTAGGAAGGTTTTCTAAAATAATCTACACCATGCTGGAAACCTCAGTTTCAGTTCTTTCCTTCCCCAAATGACATTCTTACTTTTAGCAATGTCAACATTTGAGCTTTGTGGTCTTCAATACTGAATTACATGTTCTTTATAGAAGAAATAGTATTTTAATTCACAGTTTATAAATCCTCACCATTTAGAACGTGATATCGTTCATCATTTGTGTTCAAGGAAGACTCTCACCCCACAAAAATCCCATTACAAAGAATGCTGGCTTTACTACAATATCCTCCTGCATACAGAAGTTCCTGAATGCTAACAAGGAAACGAGTCAAACTCTGCACACTGTGATTTGAGAAGGCCACTAAGAAGGACTGGGTAGGACTTTCAGAAAAGTGAGGAGGAGAATGGCAATTACGTCAATCACTAAGCCAGGACAAGAAGAGGTTTGCAATTAAACCACACAATGAACTGTTATAAAGTTGCCATGAGTCCAAAAATACTGTATGTATGCCATTTTCATAACTGACTTATTATTCCTCTTTACTTTCTAAGAAGTAAAGTGATTTTAAAATAAACCAACAAAATTTAAAAAAAAAACAAGCACAAAAAAGAGGCCCTCTCAGTAGCTCTACTTATTTAAGACTATAAACAAATGAACATATCTCCTGGTTTCCCAGAGACAGCCCTTTTATATGTTTGTTTTCCAAGTCCAATTATTAATAATACCCCCATTTTACCCTCAAAAATTTCCCAACCTAAACAAGAAAATTACACCAGTCACTCTAGAAATTGTTAAAAACACAGGTAGATGCCAAGGCCCATTCCCAACCTACAGAATCAGATTCTTGGGATGGAGATATTGGGAAAGGGAGAGAGAGGAGGTTATGCCAAACTCCTGCATTTTGTTTTTGTTTTTTTGTGGGGGTGCTGGGGATTGAACTCAGGGGCACTCAACCACTGAGCCACATTTCCAGCCCTATTTTGTATTTTATTTAGAGACAGGGTCTCACTGAGTTGCTTAGCACCTCGTTTTTGCTGAGGCTGGCTCTAAACTCGCAATCCTCCTGCCTTAGACTCCAGAGCCACTGGGATTACAGGCGTGTGCCCCCATGCCCAGCAGACACCTGCATTTTTAACAAGCTATCTAGATGACTCTGATACAAAAGCTACCAAAAGGTATGGCCAGACTAAGTCTCACAATCAAACTGCTGATCCACACCTCACTTAGCATGTGCACACAATCTGATTTGTGTTGGGATATTCAAACACTTACCAGACGTTGCAAGTTTGATTTTCCCCACTTACCAATCATTTCCAGATGTGCTACTAATTTGGACACATTGGCTTTAGCGAGCTCACTGGTGGTTTTATTCAGCACAAGAGAGAGTGAATGAACCTAGAAACATACAAGATAAAGCAAGGCAAATGTTACTGGCAGAAAAGGGGGTCTTTCAGGGAAATGGCAGAACAGAATCAAGGAAGATTCAGAAAGGCTTGGGAAATATGAAGGTAAAGCTTTTCAAGGTGCCAATTTCCCTTCCGCTTTGTTAACCCCGTCCCATGATGGTCTGATGATAAAGCCAACCAGAAAGGAACTCAACCAGTGGTCGGAACTCCAGGTTCTGGTGTCGTTTCTGAGCTTGCCTCATCTATTCTGCTAGTGAAATGTTGCACATTATAAAACTACTTTTCCCATTTTGATATTCATTATTAATATTATGCAATTCGATAATAACTCAAACAGATCCATGAAGTGGTCTCATCTAAGATATTTGTCAGGGCAAAATGAAAATGATTTAGAATCCTGCCTAATGCCTTTGAATGTATTTTTATGGAAGACTGACCAATCAGGACTCACCTAGGAACCACAAAGACTCTGCTTTCCTAGGGACAACAACAAACTGAAGAAAAGCAAAATCCTCTGTCTTTAGAAAAGCATTATTTGTAACAAGTTCTGTAATATAATACTGTAATTATAACTACTAAAAGGACTTATGTGGCTAGGATTTATTGAGTCAGGTTCTCAACCACCTCTGTGCTCAGAGGCATTGAGTGGAGAGAAGGAATGAGAGGAGGAGAAAGAGCCCATCATTCAACTATCACTCCCTCCCACTCAGCTTCCAGATGGCAGAGACCATGCTTGGTCAGCCCTGTAAGTGCAATACCTACCACAAAGTAGGTGCTCAGTGAACATCTGGTGAAAGAATGAGTGGGAGGAAAAAAAAGATAAGAAAAGAAGGAAAATAGGAGTAGGGGAAGAAGGAAAAATAGTTACAGGTGGAGGCAGAGAAAAATGGAGCAGATTATCACAGCTGGGCAATGCCTGTCCGTGGGTATGCTCCAGTTCTGCACAGTATGATTTTTGACAGAGACTACAGAAGGATCCCAAGGCATCGAGATGAGACCATCATAGAGGGGTAAAATAAGAAAATCCCTAATTATTTAATCATCAAAGGAACACATAAATGCTCTAAAAATGCTCTGTATGGAGGAGCCTGGCCATCGCCACCTGAACCCACTGATGGCATAAATCTTTTGTGTCTAAAAGAGACGCCCTGTGGCTGTGGGCCTCCTGCCTGATGTAACAGCAGACACCAGGCGCCACCTCAAGGGGTTCTCCCCAGGGAGCCGAAACTGACTCTCCAGCACTAACTTTCATTTCTAAATATGGGGGATAAACAAAGTCAACCAGCAAAACCAACAAACAGACAAACCTAGGATGCTGGACAGCCATGAGGCACTAGCCCAGATTCTCTAGCAAGTCAAGGTAGGGGCATAAGAAGGCAGTGGGGGGCTGGTTTACCTTAAGTAAAAGAGATCTGTGTTCGGGAATGGGGGGTTGTTTGTTTGTTGTTTTATGGTTTTGTTTTCATTTTTGAGACAGGTCTTGCTAAGTTGTCCAGGTTGGCTTCAAACACCCTCCTCCCATCTCAGCTTCCTGAGCTGGGATTACCGGCTCACTCCATCATACTTGGCTTATATAAAAAAAATTTAAGAAACAATGACAGAAAATGTAACATGTGAACCTTCTTGGATCCTGATTCAAAAAATTCCTATGTCATTTTATTGAACTATCCTCATTTGCAGCTGAGAAAACTTTGGCTCAGAAAGGCACAGCTTTCCACGGAATTACAGACCAAAAGAAAAGCATGATACTTCCTAAACCATTCACTCCTCTCCAGTTCACCAACACAAGGGCATTTTTTTTTTTTTGACATTCAATAAGTGTTGGCAATTTTTATTTCCATTATATAAAAAATAAAATGTTTGAATACAAATAGAAGACTAGAAGACAACAAGAATAGTAACAGTATTAGTAAAAATGATTGGATTATGAGGGTTTTTTAAAATCTCATTCTGTGATTTAAAAAAAAAAAATTATAGGGCTAGAAGGAAGCTCAGTGGTGGAGCACTTACCTAGCATGCACAAGGTCCTAGGATCAAAAAAAATTTTTTTCTATTATAAACATATTTTAATTTTATAATCAGGAAAGAAAAACCAATGTTTTATTTAAAGCTGAAAATTTCTGTTAATATTTCTAACATTTTATAAAACATCTTTTGTTGACATTCTACTAATGATACCACCCAATAATGTCCCAATCTTTTCTTCTTGTGAAGACACTTTATATATCTTTTTGACTTCAGAAATATTCGTTATTTCAGGAAGATTTTTCAGAGAAATCTGGTCACCTTCTACTTGAGATATTAGGTATTTTTGATTTACTTGTTTTTCTCCCTCTTCAACGTAAACAATTAAAATTGAAGTATTATCTGCTGAGATACCAAATTTTTTCAAAGCCTCTGAAATATTGTTGTTTGGGGAAAGGTTGAAAATAATTTCAGTAGACAGAGTTCTCGTCTTCATTTTTCCCAGTTTGTAGAGGTGAACTGCTTTATTTGCTGCCACAAGTATCTGAAAAGGATCAACAATCACTGAAGGATTTATCAATGCACCATCAATGGTGCCTTCCATGGCCTTTTTTCTCAAGTCTCCAGCATTTTTTACATCTTTAAATAACAGAAGAGTCACTCTGCATTCAGGAAATAGGTCCAGCTGATATGTTAACTGCATTTCAAACAGGATTGTATGCACAAAACCAACTGGTCCTGGTCCAACTGGAAAGATCTCCCCCTCGGAAACACAAGGGCATTTTTGAAACAATCAGGGAACTCTGAGCATGGACTGGGAGGAATTACATAATACAAGGTATTTTTGGTAATTTAGTTCAATATGACAATGAATACTGAAGTATGTTGAGGTAAAATGGCATACTATTTGGAATTTGCTTTAAAATCCTTCAGTGAAGAAGAAGAAAAAGAACAAAGTAAATGTGATTCATTGAAGTACTGGGCATATGGTGATTCGTTATACTATTTTCGCTGAGATATACTTGCCATTTTTCACAATACAAATGTTTTTCAAAAATTCTTATTTTCAAAAAGTACACTGTTAAGGGACATTTATCTAGTCCTGTTTTCTTGCAGGAACAGCCATATCAATCTCTGCAGAGCCTCCTGGGAGGAGTCCCCCACCCGGCCCTAGTCCCACACCATTCACCACTGACACCACAGGCACCACAAGAAGGAAGGGACAGGGCAAACATGAAGTTCCAACAGAAGAAAAGGCTCCACCCTTTCCATTCATCTTGACAAATAAGCCAAGGCCCGGGACCTCAGCACTGACCATGCCAGGCAAAAGCTTCCCATCCCTGTGCGCTCCACACACACAGCAGACAGGCTAAAATTCAAATATGGTCTATTTCAAAGTTTCAGAAAAATATCTGAGTACCAGCAGGTGCAGTGGCGCAAGCCTGTAATCCCAGCGGCTCAGGAGGCTGAGGCAGGAGGATCTCAAGTTCAAAGCTAGCCTCAGCAACTTAGCAAGGCCCTCAGCAACTCAGTGAGACCCTGTCTCTAAATAAAACAGAAAAAAGGACTAGGGATGTGGCTCAGTGGTTAAGTGCCTGCAGGGTCAATCCCTGGTACCAAAAAAAAAAAAAAAAAAAAATCTGAGTACTAAGGACAAGTCACAAGCATGACAATTCCCATGACAGTAAAGACTAGCAGCAACCATAGCAGCAACCACTCACTGAATGCTTGCTGTATGCCACGTGCCACCGAAGGCCTTACCTGTGTTTTCACTGAGTGCTCAGAGACCCTGTGACATAGGCACCACCCAACAGCCCCATTTAATGACAGAAAAACGGAGAGAAAAGGGGCTAAGTGACTTGCCCACATCTACACAGCTGGGGGGGTCACAGTGAAGTGCCAGGATTAAAGCCAAGCAGTAGACTTCCCTCACCTCATTCCTGAATAGCGGCTCTACTGTGGCCCCCCATGGAAGCAAACACCATCCTGAGAGAAGGGGGCGGGAGGTAAGGGTAAAAGCTGCACTGGAAAGTTGCTGCCTGGACTAGACGCTGTGCTAAGGCCCTTGCGTACACCATGTCACTTCACTCTCGCAGATGACGGAAAAAGAGGAAACCCAGGACACAGAGCAAAGTGGTTCCCTGAATGAAAGCCCACAGGCAAGACAAGCTGTTTGAACTGCAGGTTCTCCCCGCCTCCACCTGGGACTTACACCAAAACCTTTCCTGAAACACTAACATCTCCCCTTTTGTACCAGACACCCAAAAGACCACATGGCTCTGCTGCCAACAAGAGCTATCTTCCAGAATAAAGGCAAATGCTCACATTTAAATAAACCCAAATTCATTTTGGAACTTCAAGGCATCGAAGGGAACTGATACCTTGAGATCCAGCTTGGTGTTCACGGGATCCTGAAGCTCGGGTGCTGTGAAGGCACTGGACTCTACCTTGACGTTCTGCAGAACATCCTCAGGCGGCAACTTCATTGCATGGTTGTCTGCAGTGGAGCCAATTCCAAAAAAATCTAAGATCACGACCCAGGTTTGCAATGTGATCAGAACATCCAAGCAGTTAAAATCAACGTCAATGCTCCGGTTGACTCGATTGTAAATGGAAGAAAATTCTGGATGTTTCTTATCCACCAAGAATATATTGATGTGGACCAAGGAATCATCAAATTTACTCTTTCCTGTAACTACCTTGGGCTCATCTATGGTCGGAGAAGGAGGTGGGGTCAAGGGATAGTCCTTGTCTTGAACTTCCTTTTGTTTCTTCCTGGAGACGGAGGTGGGTCTCTGATACAACTGAAAGACGTTAGGAGCTTCCTCCATGTGGGAAGGGAGAGAGCGTGGCATATCAGGGTACTCCACATTGGATACTGAAGGGCAAGACTGGGAAAGGTACTCTTTCTGTGCTAAGCTAGATGGCTTGGGAGCACCTCGGGACACCATCAGGTTCTTGTACTTGGAATCTGGATTTTTCTCCAGTAAGTCCTCCATTAGCAGGGAACGCAGAGCAATCTGAATGGACAAGGTCTGAGGATGGTCTTTACTGAATTCCACCTCAAAGTCCTGAAACCTTAAGCTCACAAGACCTTGGGCCCCCAAAGTGAGATCTCCACTTAGCTGAACTTGAAGCTCTGATATACAAAAGTTGGCTTGAATCTGAGTGAAAGCTTTAGCTTCTCTCACAGACAAGGACTTCTGAGAGGTGCTGGAAAGACTGGAGTGGCTGAACAGCCCGTTCTCCTTCCTCTCCAGGGAAGGCTCTCCGCAGGTACTGAGGGCAGGCACAGGAGAGTTGGGGCAAGAGGAGGAGGCAGCACTGGCTGGAAACTTATTCAGATCTTCACTGTACACAAGGTTGTCCAGCGTCTGTAAAACCTGCTCATATACGTGCTTGGCTAACACCACCTGCATTCAAAGGGAAAAATCAGTTACTCCCCTACTATTATTAACTGCACTCAGCTACCTATCCATGTCCACAATTTGGGGCTTCCCTTGAGGTTTTAGGTTAGTTGATAAGACTCTCACCATCATTTTTTTTTTGCTATCCTTAACTCTTTCTGCCCCACTTTTGTTCACAAGGCCCTTTCCAGCATCACACAGAAAAATCTGCATATTCAATAAGTGCTGACTGCATGCCCAAATCAGAAAAGTCGGATTAAAATTTAGATGATACCAAGGAACTCTCATTAATTTTGTAAGGTATGATAATACCACTACAGTTACATAAAGCACACCTAGTTTGTAGACACATTCCAAAAATACAGGAATAAAAATGGTATGAAATCAGGTCTTTGTTCATGTACATGTATGTTGAGCACGTCAAAGTTGCTGGTATTCAAATCCTTGCTCAAGATGGGCACAGTGGTGCACACCTGTAATCCCAGCAACTTGGGAGGCTGAGGCGGAAGGATCACAAGTTCAAGGACAGTCTCAGAAACTTAGGAAGACTCTATCTCAAAAAAGGGCTGTGGATATAGCTCAATGGTAAAGCACCACTGGGTTCTATCCCCAGTACCAGAAAAAAAAAGAAAAAGGAAAAGAAGAGTTAGTGATATAGCTCAGCAGTTTCAGACAGGGCAAGACTAATTCTCCCTTGAAAGATCTGTCAACGGCACAGATAATCACATCATTTTATAAGCTGGGCCAAGTATGTCAAAAGTGTGACAAGAATTATATCTTCCTGGGAAGAGACTCTGATTTTTTTAAGCAAAAATTTCCCTGCTCCCGAATGGCAATGAATGAAGATTCTGCCTTCTTCCTCTGCACAACCTCCCTCTGAGCCACACAAAGAAGGCTAACAAGAATGCTGTCCAGTGATTAAACATGATAAAATTATTCCATGTTTATTGGAACAATAGCATTAATGATATTTCCTTGAAATCATATTTTCCATCTACATTTAATAAACATAAATATATAGCATTATAATCTAAGTATAATAGATTTATACTGCATAAATATAAAATAAATAGAGGCTGAGTATTTAAAATCCCAAATATCCCTGAAATCTGAAACTTTCTGAAAGCCGATAAAATGCTCAAAATGTTTCAGACTTTACAGCATTTCAGATTTCAGAGATTATGAATAGGGATGCTCAATCAATAAAAGTCTTCACAAAGGGGCCGGGGTTATGCGAGCACTTGCCTAGAACATATGAGGTACTGGGTTCAATCCTTAACACCAAATACAAAAAATAATCCAATAAAATAAAGGGATGCTATCCATCTACAACTACAAAAAAAAAAAAAAAATTTAAGACTACATAAATATTCCAAAATCTAAAAAACTCTGAAATCTGAAACACTTCCGGTCCCAAGCATCTCAGGGAAGGGACATTTTAGCTGCCCTAGTCTGAAAATCAGTTGAACAAATTACCTGAACTGGATTGACGAACTTTCCTTCAATCTTCATGATGCTAGAGGTCCCCAGGTCATCTGGACTAAGAGAGAAGGTCAGTTCAGACTCTCTCTCAATAGGGATCTTTTCCAGTTTAAACTGAATGGTGGTGTTGTTCAGGATGTGAAAAGCTGACAGAAGGGAGGAAATGACAGACTATTAACACTAATCTTACATTATTATTGCTGATTAAGTGTGGAGTGTATAAAATACAGCCCATGAGTTATTCTTAGACTTGAAGGGCAGGTCAGCCTAGCATCAAGGGGTATATGACCAAAAGCAAACTTTGATGACTATCCCAAGGCCAAACTGGGAGAAGAGATAAAAGGTAAGATTACAGGAAAAAAAAGAAAAAATTCATGACATGCTTTATTTGGCAGCTTTAAAATATGACGTGATAAACATACTCATCCAGTCCAGGAGACTACATTAAGCTTCTCTTTGCCTTCCAAGCTGATTTTTCAAACCACATTGCTCATCCTTACCTAGCATTCAGATATAGATGGATCCCTTTTCTTGGGCCTAAATCAGAATCAAGGTCAACAGAGGATCTAAGTAAACAACTTTTATCCCAAACAGAGAAAGAAATCTTTCAGTATGTATGTACCAGAAGCAGTGAATTAACATCTGAAAATCATAGAAGGATAAGTTTTCAAAGTCTTCATTTCTTCACCAACAAAACCATGCTCTAGAGCCCACATGATTTTTTTAGATGCCAAGACTAACAGATTGAGCAGGACATGGTGGCACATGCCTATAATCCCAGAGACTCGGGAGGCTGAAACAGGAGGATCTCCAAAAGCCAGCCTCAGCAATGGGGAGGTGATTAGCAACTCAGTGAGACCCTGTCTCTAAATAAAATACGAAACAGGAGGCTGGAGCTGGGGCTCAGAGGTAGCACACTTGCCTGGCATGTATGAGGCACTGGTTCAACAACTAAAAGATTTTTTAAAAAATACAAAATTGGGCTGGGGATGTGGCTCAGTGGTCAAGTGTCCCTGAGTTCAATCCCCAGTACCCTAAAAAAAAAAAAAGATTGGGGGTTTGACTCTGCAGTAGGGCATCCCCTGGGTTCAATCCCTGGTACCTTAAAAAAAAAAAAAAGACTAAAAGATTGAAAAGATTGAACTGATGGCACTAGCTGATTAGAGTTAGAACACAAATTCAAAATCCATTCCTCACACCCTCTTCCATCCAACCCATTATAGGGCATGGCAGAATACTAGAATATTCTGTATAAC